ATGAAGAGGAATTTTAAGGATGTAACAGGAACAAGGGTTATAATTGGTTCTATCTCACCAACTTTATACCTTCAGCTAACAAATTCAGCAAACAAGGAGACCAAGTGAGCACTACAAAAGTTGAAAAGATGAGCACAACATGGTCCCCACACTCAAGAAACATGATCTCGAAGGAGCGGTCAATCAAGGAATATTAACTAAGTTACTGAGCATCATGAATAAGAGGAATAAAATGATGTCAATGTGCTTCAGAAGCTTAGTTTTGTGGCTCAGCTAGTGGTATAATCTAGCAGGAAATAAGGGCTATAGCAGATGTTTGCATCAAGGACGATGGAAGTCCAAAGGAGGGCTTGGCTCAGCTTAAGGAGTCCAGGGATTGTAATAGCACAACTGAGCCCAGAACAGGCAAGTATCAGGTACACAAAGAAGGCAAAATGAGATAGCACAAAAGCAACCACATACCCAGCCAAATGTATAAAGCAGTCAAATAAACATACGAGAGTGAGCATCTATCTTCTTGCCAATCACTGAACATGTCCATTCCTTCTCTGTGTCTTTACATCAGTCATTAAACTCAATCCTCAGGCTCACCTCCTCTCAGCAGCCTTGCAGGATTGGCAACACTAACCTATCTGAATGAGGGTAATGTGGCTGTCACACCCTGCTCCCTTCAGGACCCCCCGGCACTGAACAGTTTCTATTTGTATCATGATTTTGTTAAGAGTTTTAAGTTTCTTTGAATTTTCACGTCATCACTAAATCTGAAATCCATGGCTAGTACCCCACCCCAGGAACAGATCTTTGGGGCCTAGCATACTGTAGTCACTCAGCCCACTACTGCAGTTCAGTGGTTCAGGCTGCGTATCAAGTCGTCCCTAAATCAGTATCTCTTAAGCCACAGTCAGGCCTAAACAACCCTCACAATTTTTGCCACACTCAATTAAAATCTGTACTTTCATTAACTTAAAAATTTCTTTCAATAGACATAGTTTTGTCTTGTTTTTTTAAAGTAAAACTAGTTGAAAAATAGAATTCATCATAAACAATATCTTACTATTTGTATTGTATTATAATTTTAATATATGTTAAGTGTGTATCAAAAATGAATTTTGGGGTATCATTTAAAGTCATCTTGTACCCACTGGCGGGTATGCATCCAACACTCTAAGAAATACTGTAGAAGGCCATCTGATTGTTCCCACTGTTCCTTCACAGGGTTCTAAGTGACTTATTACTTTCTTCTTTCTAATGAAGTCCAAATACCTCAACACGGCATCAAGATCTTCCGTGTTCCGCAATGGAATACTATGCAATGCTAAAGAATAATGTAGAATCTGCAAAACACCGCATAACGTGGATGAACTTGGAGGACATTATGCTGAGCGAAATAAGTCAGTCACAAAAGGACAAATATTGTATTAGTCCGTTATTGTGAAAGTTAAGGAAAGGTTTATATATTGGAGGACATTTTCTTTGTTGGTTACCAGGGGTGGGAGGGAAGGGGAGGGAATGCTGTTAGATAGATAGAGATAAATATTGATTTGGGTGAAGAGAAGGGCAATGTACCAAATGTGAGTGACCAATATGGCAGCATTGAGGATGAGAAAGACAGAGAGAGTTACATGGGCAGTACAAACAACAAATATGAACCCCTTTGTAAATACAATACTGAGTTGTCAATGAAAGCAAACATGGGTATAGGGACGGATAGATGGGTGAACAAGCTAAACAATTAGGTATGTCTAAATGGAGAGTGTATCCAAGATCATATACAGGGTTGGCAGACAATGGGCCTCTCGAAGAGTATGAAGGGATGGACACTGGGAGGAGGTAACTATGGGGAGGAAGTGGGAGGGGAGCTGCTGCATTGTAAATTTTGGTCAATGACATGAGACAAAGTATATGTGAACTGCTGTATGAAAAGTGAATTTACTCTGTAAATCTTCACCCAAATCCTAATAAAATTAAATTAAAAAAAAAAGATCTTCCGTGTTCCGGCTCCCAAACTACCTTTACAGTCTTGAAACCCAGTAGCAAAACTGTGGTAAGCCAACCCTTTCTCAATTTTGTTCAATTGTGCCCACCTCCTACCATCCCCTTACCCCTCTCTCCTTCAAGATGCAACTCACTTTAGTTCCCCTGTGAATAAAACCAACCAACTCTGTTGCTGTTCAGTCTGTTCTGACTCATGTGTTACGGATCAGAACTGCTCCATAGGACTTTCTCGGCAGTAAACTTTACGGAAGCACATTTCCAGGCCTTTCTCCGGTAGTATCACTGGGTGGGTTCAAACCGCCAATGTTCTAGCTTAGCTGTTTAGCAAAAAGCCTTTGTGCCATCCAAGGCCCTTTGCCCTGTGAACAGCAGTGGCAAAAGCTCTGGCCTTGAATCTGGGCTCCAGCATTGACCATCAGTGTGGCATCATTAAGTCACTTACGCTCCGTGTGCTCAGCTATAAAATAACACTGATAACCATGCCTGTCCTGCCGGATTACCGCACCAGCTGACCGAGATGTAAAACTCATCACATACATTAGATGCTCTGAGGTCTCCCTCCAGAATCCGTTCTGACCTCGTTCAGGTCTCGAGCTGGCTGTTTTGCTAGAATGTACACTAACGCAATGCCTTCGAGTGGAATCTGACTCATATTGACCTTATAAGACAGAGGAGAACAGCTCCATAGAGTTTCTAAGGTTGTAATCTGTACGGGAGCAGACTGTTACATCTTTCTCCCGTGGAACAGCTGGTGGGTTGGAACCGCCGACCTTTCGGTTAGCAGGCCAGCGCTTAACCACTGCACCCCCAGGGCTCCGGGTGTACACTAAGAGTGTGTTATCCTCCGCAACATGCAACAGGGGTAGACGGGAAAAGTGTCCACATAAGCGAAGTTGAAGAAATGTTTTTCATCCAGGATCGCAGTAAAAACACCTAGCGACCCTAAAGGTGGAAGTTAATACCTCTTTCCACAGATGTAAAAAGTAGCCTTCGGAGGTTACGCGAACAGTCTAAGTCTCAGAGAGGGATAGTAGCGCTCTCGCCTTCCCCCGGCAGACCTGACCACCCACAGAAGCAGCGCAAAGCGGAACCCGTATCTCCAGTAAGTGGCTCCCGTAGACTCTCACCTGGGGTTTGGAGCGCGAGGCCTCGGCAGCTAGCGCTTGGCCCGGTATCGACCGAAGTGTTGCAGAAGACAATGCTAAAGCCCACACAATCTCCCCAGCGAAGCGGCTAGCAGGCCCAAGTTACTCCGTCTTCCAAAGCCCGCGCTCCCGTCACGTGACCTCTTCGCTGCGCACAGCCTCCTGGGGATTGTAGTCCAGGCCCGGGCCCCCTCAGCCAGCTTCTCAAAGGGAAAATGGTCTTGCCAGCATGAACGAACTTTATCTGCGACCCTGAACTAGCTTTCTCCACTGCTTCTTCCAAATCCACACCAGACTCCCGCAGAGCCCGCCCGCCACTACTGCTCAAACTACAGGACTACAAGTCCCACAATGCAACTTGCATGGGGGACAATTCCTCTTCCGACTGAATAGGGCGCGGACTCTCGCCGACGTGTTCTTCCGGTGGCAAAGCAGCGGCGTATCCAGTGCCCAGCGAAATGGTGAGAGGGTTGAGGGGAATTCCGTACAAAACTACGGAGGACCTTTATGACTCGCCTCACACCTTGTTTCTCTCAAGGAGACTTTAGACGCCCGAGATCCATGGGACGGGAGGATCCTGGATCCTGCGGCTTAGATTGAGGGGCGGGGAACGGAAGCCCCTCGCTGTGGACTCAGGCTGAGGTTTTGATCACTCTGGGCTTGTGAACGCGAGATTTGGGAGGGTGGGAGGGCGTGAGGTGCTTGTAATGCCGTGGACCTTTTGCCTAAGCTGTTACCTCTTTTCTACCCGTGCCAAATTCGTTCTCATCCCGTAAGGCCCCCGGCAGATACCATCTTGTTAAAGCATTTCCAACTCTCAGGCACTTGGCTGCTCCCTCCGGGAGCGCCCACAGCTCTGTACAGACCTCTTACCACGTTTCACGAACTTCTTTGTTATCTGCCACGCCTCCTAGTGACCTCCATCTGACGTGTGTCTCGCTCTGGGATGATGTCTATTCATCTTTGTATTCCCGGTGCCAAACACAGGGCCTGCAATGAGAGGCTCAATAAATGGCAGCGATTGTCTTGATCGATTTCGGGGGGGGTAAATGTTTACTGAATTGAATTCTAGTGTCTCGAAGAACAAAGGGTTTAGTTGACTTCTCTAGAGTTGTTATGTTCTGGATGCTAAAAGCGTTGGCTGATGAGTGACAATGGAAGTTAACACGTGTACAGAACTTAACGGTTCCAGCTCTCTTTCACAGGCATTACCTCATCGTCTTCCCTATAATCTTAGGAAGGAGACAGACACCTATTGAGCAGCTATTCTGTGCCAGCAGCAGCATCTTTCTGAAATCATACACCGACCCTGTGAGATCGATATCATTATAACCACTTTTCTGAGGCTCACGTTAATTGACAGTGCCGGAATTTTAACTGGTGTCTTTTGCCTGTAGATCCTGAGATGCCTTAATAATGTGGTGGGTTGAGAGCTGGGTCCCGTCCAGGTTCGGGGACCTACCGCGGGGATTCTCAGCCCGGTGTCTTCAGACATGTGTGCCTCGAACCTCTACAAGTTGAGGCATTAGAAAATGGTTCTTGTACGGGCTTTCTTCCAGGCAGACGGTCCGTCCATTTCACCACATCTTTATAGGGGTCACTGGCCTCAGAGTTTGTTTGGGGCCGTTAATTTACAGCTTATTACCCTTCTGTCTCAGCTGCCCTTCTTGTCTCATTAAAAAGACAAAATGTTACCTTAGTTTAAGAGATCATTGTAATTATTGTTGGTATTGTTGTCATTTGTAAATTGAATCCTTGATGTTGGTTCACAGCACCACAGAGCTCTTGCTAATCCCCAGGTTGAAGTCATGGAAGTCTTTGATGTCTCTGATCTCATGTCCTCCCTAGGAGCTCGAGGCCATGAGCAGGTACACCAGCCCGGTGAACCCGGCTGTCTTCCCCCATCTGACCGTCGTGCTCTTGGCCATTGGCATGTTCTTCACCGCCTGGTTCTTTGTGTATCCTTTCCTTGAGCAGTCAGTGGGATGCTGAGGGAGAAACCACACTGGGTACACGCACCCTGCCAGTCTTGTACGTTGGCTTGGGGCTGAGGGAAGGTAAGGACGTCCGGGGAAGTCCGTTGAGGCCCCAGGTCAGGTTATGGCCTTATTTTCCAAGTTTAAGTGAGCTCAGTTTGCACTTGAGATTTCCAGGACAGTGAGCGGAGGACCTGGCTGGAGTGCAGGATGGGGATAGGGGAGCTGAAATTGGACAGGTGGTGAGAGGGTACACTCAGATGTCTGAAGGCTAGTCCTAGATCCACCACTTGTTAGCTGTGTGCCTGGGGCACATGACCTAACCCCTCTGGGCCTCATTTTCTTCCTGGGTAGTGGAGGGCTGGGATGACTCACTAGAGTCCAGGGCATTTCTTGGGCCCCTCTGTCTGGCTCCACTGAGCCAGACAAGCCTCCCAGAAGCCCCGTAATCCAGACCTTGCTCACCCAGCATTACACTGGCCAGGCACCCTGCACCCTGCGGTTGATCCTTTGGCTTCTTAACAACCCGACACAGTTATGAGGTAACCTCCACCAAGTACACGCGAGATATCTACAAAGAGCTCCTCATCTCCTTGGTGGCCTCACTCTTCATGGGCTTTGGGGTCCTCTTCCTGCTGCTCTGGGTCGGCATCTACGTGTGACTTCAAGGGTGAGATTTTTGTCAGGGTGGGATGTGAGAACCTCCAAGGCACAGCCTGGAGAAGGCTTCTGACACATCTACAGGGTCCTCACACTCTTGTCTGACTCGTTGGTTAATAGATTCTGCAGAATGCATAGGGACACTAGGCGCATGTGCCTCTTTCCCTGTCCCTGCTGGAGTCCCTGGGTGGTGCAGATGGTTCGACTACTAGCCAAGAGATGGGTGGTTTGAACCCATCCAGAGGCACCTTGGAAGACAGGTCTGCCAGTCTGCTTTTGAAAGGTCACAGGCATGAAAACCCTGTGGGACAGTTCTACTCTCGAACACGGAGGTCACCGTGAGTCAGAATAGACCTGGGGATTTGAGGCAAGTGACCATATTGTCAGCTCTGGTTTCTCCATGCTCCCAAGGCCTCAGTCTGGGTGAGAAGGTACCCTGTCAGGATCTGGGCACAGGCTTCCCATGCTGATACAGGGACTTGGAGAGGCTGCCAGGACCTGGGACTTAAAACTTGCAGATAATCGCAAGTCACTGAGAATTGGCTCCAGGCGGTCAGCTTCAAAGGCATGTGCCTGTCAGCCCGTGGTGTGCCCCTGGAGCATGGGGTTCAGTGCGGGAAAGAAAGGTCATTCGTCTCACTTTGCTATTCCTCTTTCAGGTACCAACCAGGCGGCCTCACTGAATCCCTGCTTTTGTAAATTAGGTTTTTATTTTTTACTGTTGCTGGACGTTTCCCACCTGCTGCTCAAAATAAAAGCAAAGGTGTAACAATCCTGTCTGATGCCATTTTGTGGCGGTGGGGTGCTGCTGGGGTGACATTACTTCCCCAGTCCTGCCCCTTCCACCCCTGAGGGGTCAGGGTTATGGGAAGGACATCCATGCCATGGGCATTTAAGGCTCGCCAGTGGATAGGAAGGGTCCATGCCTGCCCACTGCCATCATGTCGAGAGGAAACCCCTCCAAGGACTTGCCCCAATCAATTCTGCCCTGGGCCCATCCCGTCTGCTACATGTAGTCACCCTTCTCTGGGCCAGGGCGCCCTCATAAGGCATTACCCAAAGGTGGCTTCTCTTAACCGAGGTTGGGCAGCAGCCGGTGTGAAGAAAGAGGTGTGGCCAGTGGGGTGGTTGCCAAGTCCTGTTCCCAGCACTGCCAGGAAGCCGAGATAAAGGTGATGGGCTGCAGAGCATCCCCCGCAGAGCCCCCAAGATGCCAGACACCCCAGAACCGCGAGTTCCATCCGACCTTGGCTGCACATAACTCGGTCCCACCAGAACAGTCTCGAGGAGACGGAGAGACAAGCTCAGATACAAAGCAGTATTTATACATTTATTTATATACGTATATTTACTCGAGAAACAAACAAACAGGTGACGAGCAGCAGGCAGGCCTGAGGCTGCCCCCTCGCTGCTCCTCAGAGTTGGTACATGATAAATACGAGTCAGAGCTCAGGGAGCGGGAATGGGAGTTAACGCAGGGCAGGGGTTCTATGAACACGCAGGCTTTTAAGGGGGCTCTAGGGTCACTATGAGTCGGAACTGACAGCACGCAACATAGAACGGGCAGGGGAATTATGCACTGTGAGGCCCTATGTACAGCTTGAAGCTTGAAGGACGAGGGTGGGAGGCTGGGCTGCTGGGCCCCAGATGGAGGATGGAGCTGAGACCGCCCCCAGCCCCACTCTGCAGTGCCAGCCTGACAGCCCTGTGTCTTCCTGAAGCCCTTTTACCTTGGGCATAAGGCAACTTTGGTCCAAGGCTGACCCCCTCAAGCAGCTTGGAGCCCCAGCTTGGCCCCAGCCTCTGCACTGGGGACACCTTTCCCAGGCCTGGAAACAGCCAGCTGCTAACCAGATTGGGGCCATGCTATGTCCAGATGGGCTCCAGGAGGCAGTGGAGGGAGGGTCACTTTCCAGTTAGGGACTGAGGGGCTGCTGTCCAGGAACACCCACTCCCCACTGAGGAAGCCCCAGACTCCTATACAGGGGGCAGGCTTGTGGTGTTGCAGCCCTAGGGAGGGCTCCCCGTTAAGTGCTTTGAGCTGCATGGTAGAGGGGTGGCTTCTATTGCTCCCCCACACAGAAAACCCTCCCATTCAAACTGGGAACGAGAGGTAGGATGGGGTAAGGCCTGATTCCCAAAGAGGTGGCACAACACCAGAGGCTAGGGATAGCAGAGGCCACTTCTGAACCCAGGACACACATCACTAAATGCCTAGGAGCCAGAACATCCCAGGACATGCTCACAATGTGAATGAAGATGGCATTTGAGATGAAGCGTTTTCACTAGCCCAAGCCCCCAACTCTGCTCCCGGAAGGGTGGGCAGAGGCGGGGCCCACTGCCAAGCATGGGTCCCCACTGAGGAAGGCCACTTGGTAGACAGGCGTGAAGACGAGAACAGCATCTTGGCGGTGGTGGGGCTGGGCAGGATGGGACCGCTGCCTTGAGGCTTCCCAGATGCCGCCCCAGGGCTCCAGCCCCACCCTCCCGCTCCTTTCTGCTCTGGTTGAAGTGCATTTTAGTAATTCATTACAGCGAAAGCGATCTGCCTCCTCCTACCAGCCAAGACTGTTGTCTTGCAAGGATTCCTGCTTCTCTGCTGAGAGTGATGGAGTCGCGGACACCCACTGTGAACTTGGGAGTCCCCAGGAACACTGGGGGCTTACGAGGGAACTTCCCCTCCTAGGGTGGCACTCTAGGTTCAAGGGTCCACGGCTTACCCAGCCCACTGGCCCCCACTGGTTCAGGCCTGCTAAGAGCTGAGGGTGGCTTCACCCAGGCACCAAGGATACATGAGGCACATGTCTCCAGCCCAGCCAAGGCTGGCCCCAGCTGCCCCGTGGGCTCTTGGGAGCCAAGCTCTCCCAGGGAGAAACCAACCCCTAGGCCATGCTTAAAGCTTAGAAGTCCAAGTCCAGTGTAACAGTCAAACCCCAGAAGTCCAGTATCAAGCCACCCCCCCAGGGAGCAGCTATGAGGTTAGGGCTCTCTGACCTCCATTAACTTAGGGATCCAGCCAAGTCTCTGAGGGTTGGATCCCAGCCCCCAACTGGTCTCAAAGGCAGGCTGATCCTCTCCCAGAAGCAGGACCGCTCCCAGTCTTGAAAGGGGAGGTAGGGAGAGTGGGACAGGCTTCCCCTTGCCTCTGTGACATCTCAAGACAGCCCTGCAACCATCACATCTGGACAGATGTGTGCGGGCCTTGTCCTAGCCCTGAGGAAGGGGGCTCTAGCTCTGGCTCCCTCCTCTATGTGTGAGGGGCTCCCAGCAGGAACAGCAACTCCAGTGTGAGGACTTCCAGTCTGACCAGTCGCGGGAAGGGCCGAGCCCTGGCTTTAGTCACCGCAGAGGGCGTTCCAGTGACCGGCAGAGAGCTGGCCGGCACAAGCTCCAGTGTAACGTCACTGCATCCAGTGTGGAAGGGGGCTGGGGGCCCCTGGCCCCTGCTGTGCTGCCGCCTCGGGGAGGCAGCTCAGTCACAGAGGCGGGAGAACTGGAAGTAGTAGTCCGTGGCCGGCAGGACGGGGGCCTCTGCGCTGCAATTGGCCTGACCCTGGGAAGGAGGGCAGTGGGAACAGGTGAAGTGGCTCTGGGGGTCTACACTCACCCTGCTGACACTGCCTGACACCGTGCCTCAAGTTCCACCATGTGGTCAGCAAACCCCCATTCTTCCCCACGTGCCTGGCCCTCTGGGGTCGATGGGGTCCCTGTGCTCACCAGCAGTGCCACCCGGAAGTGGTAGGTGAATTCACGGAAGGACAGCATGGATATTGGCCACTGGTGGGAGGTGCCCTGGAGAGAGCAGAGACAAGGGTCAGGACGGTCCCCAGCCCCATTCTAACCAGCATCCCTGTCACCATGGCCACTGCAGCCCTGGGGTCTGTGGCAGGTTTTATGAAGGGAAAAGCAGAGAGATTTGAGAGGAGGCGAGAGGCAGCCCTTTCTGCTTTGGGGATAATGGTGGCCACCCCCTGTGCTGAGTTCTCCCAAGTCTACAGCCCCTCCCCTGGCCCTGCCCCCTTTCTAGTCATGTCTCACACTACTTTCTCTCTCAGCCACCTGGAGTATCACTACAACCCAATGTTGTTGTTAGGTGCCACCGAGTCGATTCCAACTCACTGTGACCCCTATGCACAAGAGAATGAAGCGCTGCCCAGTCCTGCACCGGGCCCACAACCCCTGCTGTGCTTGAGCCCATCGTTGCAGCCACGGTGTCAGTCCATTTCACTGAGGGTCTTTCTCCTCTTTCTCTGACCTTCCACTTTACCAAGCACGACATCCTTCTCCAGGGAATGGTCCCTTCTGACAACATGACCAAGTAGGTGAGATGAAGTCTGACTGTTCTCACTTCCCACAAGCATTCCAGCTGCTCTTTTTCCAGGACAGATTTGCTTGTTCTTCTGGCAGTCCATGGTATTTTCAGTATTCTCCACCAACACAATTCAAAGGCATCGAGTCTTTGGTCTCCTTATTCATTGCCCAGTTTTCACATGCATATGAGGTGATTGAAAATACCATAGATTGGGCCAGGCGCACCTTAAGTCTTGAAAGTGACAACCCAATGAGGTAAGTGCTGCTATCCCCATCTCACAGACATGGAAGGAACCCTGGTGATGCGGTGGTTAAGCACTCAACTGCTAATTGAAAAGAGTGGGGATCAAACCCACCAGCCGCTCTGCGGGAGAAAGATGTGGCATTCTGCTTCCATATGGACTGTAGCCTTGGAAGTCCTACGGGGCAGTTCTACTTGTCCTAAAGGGCTGCTATGAGTTGGAATCAACAGCAACAGGTTAAAGGTGTGGAAAAGGAGTCACTCTGCCACAGTGGACCTGTGGCAGAGCTGGGATTCAAACCCAGGTCTAACTGGCTCTCTCCCTTTCAGGGTAGCTGCAGGGAGCTTCCCCAGAGCCTACCTGAGGCTTTGGCTTAGTCTCGTGTTCTGTGGGTGGGGCCTGAGCACCAGGCCCAGTGAGCGCCCTGCCAGGCTCTCCTCTGCAGGCCA